GTCATTATGTGTCAAACTTGAGGGGTCTAAGACTACGAGCATGTTAAGGTGGAATAGGATGGATTCAATACTCGTGATAGAGTTAAGAGGATGGAATGAGATTTAATTTTAACATTATCCTGGATGAGAGTCTACTTTGGAGCAATGTTGATAATGTGATTGAGTTAAAATCAATCATTGATACAATATTTTATGAGAGATAATATGATTAATTGATTTTTTAAAATCACTTGAATTATAAAAAATGATTTTGTGATTCTAAGGGTGGTTTATTTTTTGTTCATTGTCAAACAATTTATATGATTTGTGATGCCGATGTCGGCTTTTTTGTTTTTGATTTATTATTGAACAATTTATATGAAATGATTTGATATGTCGAAGTCATGTTATTTTCATTCATTATCGAATAATTTATGTGAAATGATTTGTGATGCCATTATCGAGTTGATTTTTATTTGTTGACAAATGATTTGTGAAAATAATTTATGATGTCATTATTTGCTTGATTTCCATTCATTATAAAATGAATTATGAAAAAGATGATTTTATGTTTTGGTATGTTTTTTGTTCATTGATGGATGATTTGTGAAAAGAATTTTTGTGTTGCCATTGTCGGTTTGATTTTTGTTCTTTGATAAATGATTTTATGAAAAGTGAGTTGTGTCACCATTTTTGGTTTGATTTTCTTTTTTCATCAAATAAAATATGAGAAATGATTCTTAGCTTGGCTTTTTTATTTGGCGTAAATGATTTATAAAAAGATTTGTGTTGGGTTTCTCACTTGTGATTTGAGTGATAATTTTATAATTTTACGATACCAAATGACAATTCGTTTCCCATTTATGATTTTAGTGGTGATTTTAATTTGCAATATCGAATGATGGTTCGCTTCCCACTAATAATTTTAGTAGAAGTTTTATAATTTTATGATTTATGATGCCCAAGTCTATTTATGTTTTGTTCATTGTTGAACGATTTATGTGAAAAGATTTATGATGCTAATGTGAGCTAATTTTCTATTTTTTTAATAATTGATGTGAAGTGATTTCGTAGTGTTGATGTTGGTGATTTGCATTTGTTCTTGTATTTTTTTTCTTTTTTTTTGAAATGGTGTTAGGGTGCTGATATTGGTCGATTTTCATTTATTATTGAATAATTTGTGGTAACAATGTTAGATAATTTTCATTTGTTTATGAATAACTCATGTGAAATGATTTTATGGGGCTGATGTTAGTCAATTTTCATTTGTTTCTAAATAACTCATGTGAAATGATTTCATGGTATTGATGTCAACTCGATTTTCATTCGTTTTAGAATAATTCATGTGGAATGATTTTTTATGATGCTATTGTCACTTTATTTGAATGATTCATGTGAAACCTCTTTTTATAATACCATTATTGGTTTATTTTATGTTCATTTATTAATGAACTTATATGAAAATATTTTTTGTAATGTTGATGTCACACCCATACATGGCTTTTCCTTTTACATTTTATAAGCAAAGTCATGGGTCTTTATTTCACACATTACAAGCGAAATCGTGGGTTTCTATTTCGTGCATTTATATGTCGATTTTCATTTTATGCATTTATATGTGCATTTTCATAAGTATGTTAGATGCTACATTTTCCGTGCCTTTTCGATTGATACTTGAGTGCATTATTTGCTTTGATTGCTTATGTGTGTTGATTAACTTAATGCTTTAATTATGATTATGTTTGTTTATGCTCGTTTTCTATTATATATTTTTACCTTAAGCTTGATTCTTATTTTATTTGGAACTAGATATGGAGTAATTTCTATTCACACACATCAACACAAATGATTGGACATACTTGCTTTAGGACTTAGAGAGGGATTTATGGTGCCCCAATGGGTTTTGCATAAGTTAAATATTTACAAAAGCTCAACTCATTCGGAAAGTTGTCACTTTTGTGATAAGTAATTGATGGACACCATGATTGCCACTTTAGCACTTAGTTCACCTCAATTCTCCTTAGGAGGTTATTAAACTAGAATTTAAGACTTGTATAAATCCTATAAGATCTTTTTACCAAAGTAAACACAATGGTCAAGTTGAAATGACAAAATAATTTGATCACAAACATTTACGGATGCGTGATAAGAAAATCCAAGTTCAATGTTATTTAGCTCGAAATTCCAAACAAATGTAGAAACCCAACAACAAACAGAAAATGAGTATTTAAGAGAAGGTTTTCAAAGTAATCTTCAAGAATTGACATGTTTTTAGGCTATTGTTAATGGCACTCAAAAGCCTTTAAAGTGTTAAAAGCGGTTGAGTTTGGTGGATCATCGAGAATTTAGAAGCAAGTATGATAATCAAACAATGTTGTTAGAGCTACCAATTCAAAAATTAGTAATTAAAGCTTTAGTTCAATTATAAGATCCCTTAGCTATACTAGTAAAAAAGATGATAAGAAAAGAAATCATGCGGCTAAAGGCTAAGAGGTAAAGTTTACAACAAGATTGGTAAGAAGAGAGAGAAAAAGAGAGAGAAGAAGTTGAATAAGAATTGGCTTATGATTAGAGAAAAGCTTAAACATTGGCAAAATAAGATATTTGACTAGAAAGATTGGAAAGACTCATTACATTGCATTCAAAAAGAGTGGATACTAAAATCAACAAAGAATAGTGAGTTGTACTTTTAATTTGAGTAGGAATATGATGAAATTAGGATGCATAAGTTAGGAATAGAAAGTCTAGAGATTGCTTCGGAGGAGACTCAACCAAGTTGAATTTTCTTGAAAGTGCAAATGATTGAGATTATGAAAAGGGTTATCATTTTAGAAAAGAAAATCGACTCATTCATTACGGATCATTAATGTCAATTCTTACATTTATGAACACTAACAATCACTAAGGAGCATAAAGCCAATTTAGATAGATTAGAGGCCCAAATTGGTATGGTGACTTATGTGGCAAAGCTCTATGAGATAATAGGCATTAGCAATATAAAACCAAATTATTGGTCATAAATTTTTGCTTCATACTTAAGGCATTGTAATAAACTATTGATTGAGGTGATCAAGCACAACATGGTATGTGGTTAGTGAGGAGTTGTAGTATGTTGTCAAAGAGAAAAAGGGAAAAGAGATTGTTATTTGATAAGCTAAAGAATCTCATATATTTTTTCTATTTTTAAGTGAATGAAGATTTTAGTTTTTCTTTTCAAGTCAATCAATGTTGGTTTTTTCTTTAGGTGTATGAATGTTGTCTTCTTTTCAATTCTATGAATTATTTTGATGACAAACATTGCCAACAAGCTTTTGACAAGAGAAATCCATTAATTGAATTGATTTTGAGTTGTTTGACTACTTACTTCAAACGAATATTTTGATATTATTTTAATTTTTTTTATATGTGTATTAATTTAAAATATTAAAGGCAAATTATACTAATACATATTATATATGAATGGAGATTATAGATTCTTCGGTAATAAATATCTCTTGAAAAAAAAACATATATACTTTATTAAAATGTTAGATAAAAAAATGTGGCAACATAGACCTAAGTGATCCTATTTTGTATCCATGTGAATCATCACAAGAAGAATAGTTGGCCACATCAAAATTTTGAAATTGTTTGAAACTTTTTAGATAAACAAAAAATTTAGAATGACTTCCAAAAAATTGCAACGGATGCACCACATTTCAAGTTAATCGACTAGTTTCGCTTACTTTTCCTTTTAGTTGGCAAAGAATGCGAATACCCGCATACCCATGCTTTAACATGAATAAAATATTGATAATCGAGGCACTTATATATTTTTAAATAAAATGGAATGCCTATGATGAGACTATTAGTATTTATAAAATGAAGGTTAACCGATCTAAAACCACTTAGAATTTTGGGTCAAATTGAGATAAACTCTTAATATTTTAAAATTAAAATGATTATCATGAACTATTTTCCATAAAAAATAAAAAAATAGTTTATTTCATTAATTTTGACCACATGATTGTTTAGAAACGTGATACAAAAATAAATAAAATAAAAATACAAAAATAAAAAAACCCAAATCTCAAACAAATCGGACAGGACAACAAATCGAAAGTCAATAAACCTCAATTTTTTTTTCCATCTTCATCGTCACAGGACAACAAATTTCACCCCAAAAAAAAGAAAAAGAAAAAAAACCCTAAAAATCTTCTTCATTGTCCCAACCTCAGCAACACCAACCACCATTGTAGCCATTCCTCCATCGTTCCACACCACTAGCATCACCAATCACAGCATTAGTAGACCACCATGCTCCTCCTAGATCTCCTCGCAACCAACTAAGACAACCACCACGCCTCCTTCAAAAATCCCAAGCACAACCGTGATTTGCCACCACGATTTGTAAACGCACCACCAACAACTAACTCCACTGCCACCTCTGCCATTAGCAAAAAACAACCACGCCCTTCCATCAACATAGATTCAAGCACCACCCATGTAAATTCCAAGTCCTTAATTAATGCTTTTATATGTCGTGGTTGGCCTATTTATGCGTAGAGAGATTTTTTTTTAATCCATATTTTTATTTCTTTTCTTGCTTTTTTGTTTCATATTTCTTGTCAATCTCGTGTTGGGCCACGTGTCGTGTTTATAGGCGATTATATATGATCAAAATTGTGGAATAAACTTATTTTTTATTAAAAATAATTCATGGTAGTTAAATTAAAACTTTTAAAGATTAGAGACTTATTTTAATTTAACTGAAAATTCAGGGTGTTTTTGAATCATTTAGCATACATTGAAAATGGGTGGGCCGAGACAGAGAAGCTGACGTGACAAAAGAAACCAAGGGAAGAAGATTACAGAGTTACCCAAATGCGCCCCATTTTCCTTATCGTTCTATCCATCTGTGAAAAACCCAATCAAGAAGACCTTTCAACAAACACTACAAGTCTAAAGCGTAAACAGAGAAGAAAGTAAGAAGGAAAGAGATGCAAAGACAGAGGCTTTCAGAAGAATAATAAAAAAAAACAATGTCTTGCTCTTGCATTTGTAGCTTTACTTCCTCCATTTCATCTTCCTCTACTCTTACTTCTCCAAGAAAGTCTTTCAGCGTCAACTCAACTCCAATCATCCACTCTTCCCTTCAAGGTCATTTCTCTTAATTCTTCTTCTTTTCTCTCTTTTCTTTTCTTTTTATGACCTTAAATTGATCGTCTTTAGCTAACCCTTACGATACGCTCCACTATGGATTTTAGATCTTCTTCTGATTTTGCAATCTATCAATGTCATTTTGCTAAAGTTTCTTTTCTTTACCTCAATATGTTGGGCTTACATTTTCACTAATGCCTTTTAAATTATTCTCTTTGAGAATGATTTTTATTATTATTGTTATTTAAAGTTACTGGGTTTGTTTTGATGGAGCATTTCTAGTAATATTTGTAGGGTAAATTGCTAAAATGTTGCAAACAATGATAGTACTTGTGGATTTGTATTCTTTGGAGTTTCTTGGTTGTAGAATGAAGGATAGGAAGGAAAGGGTTGTATCTGAAATCTGCCTTGCTTTCTCTCACAACTTTAGCAGGATGTAACTGGTTTTTAAGATGTTTTTATAGCAACTGTAATATTGATGAACTATCATCTTTTTTCTGAAATTATTCCAATCAATAAGCTGTGATAATAGCATACATTACCAACAGATGATCAAGTTGTGTTTATATTGTGCGTATCATTATTATTCATGTACATCCTCTCAGATAGATAAGTTGTTTTCTTCTTCATCCTAATTCGAATTCTAAGTTCTAGCTAGTATTTACTGCCATATATATATATTATCATTTCAATGTTGTGTCATGGTCTATTTATTACTGATTCACACAAGTGACTATCTTGCTGGTTCTCTCTTGTAATTCTTTGTTACAACAGTCTTTGTATTTTTCTCCTCTTCAGTTTGATCAGAATTTCTGACTAGCTATGCTAAAAAATCTCATTCAGGGACTGTGACCCAACCTAAATCATCCTCTGTTGCTGAGCCACTTTTGCTTAATGCGGTTAGAGGAAAAGATGTTGAAAGACCTCCAGTTTGGCTTATGAGGCAAGCAGGGAGGTATATGAAGGCAGGTTTATGCAGCTTCAGTTTTGTGTATTTTTCTTTTGTCTTTGTTCCATACTTTGAAGCCTGATTTTATCTTCACTATATTCTGCCATGGAAACAGTCTTAGAACATGCCATTATATTTTGTAGTTTTTGCTTACTGACTCATCACTTTTCCCTCAAAATGAGGGTAATTTGTTTGTCTAATCCAGGAACTGGTTTAAGAAGCTATGCATGTGTCAGTGTTAATAACAGTTCAAAGTCAAATTCTACATAATTTCGAGTAGCCTTCTTTTCCTTTTTTATTGTTTGTTTTGAAACTTCTCTACCTGGCTTTCCTGAGCTTCTTTTCACAAATAATGACAATCATTTGCATCGCTTTACTTACCGATCATGGAATTCTGCTTTGCTAGATGAAATTTTCATACTCTTCTGCATTATCTATTATTCTTATATTTTTCAGCCAAGATAGCTGCCAGTATAGCCATGCCTATATTTTATTTAACATGGGTCTCATTGACAGACTTTTTCTTTTTTTTCTTTTTGTGACAGAGTTACCAAATTATCTGTGAGAAGCATCCTTCATTTCGTGAAAGATCAGAAAATGTTGATCTTGTAGTAGAAATTTCTCTACAGCCATGGAATGTTTTCAAGCCTGATGGGGTAAGATAACTTTTAGATCATGCTGGTAGTTGGTTGTTCATGAACTTCTGTGTTATACAGAAGCTTGCCTGATGGCTTCTGTGTCTTCAATAATCGCTATTATCGATTAATTTAGTGCTGTCATCATTGAAAAAAAGAGGCAGCATAGCTTTCTAGTTGTGTTACCATTTCGCTTTCTTATCTCAGTTTTTGTAATTCACCATTGGTACAGGTCATTTTATTCTCAGACATTCTCACTCCACTTTCTGGGATGAATATCCCTTTTGATATTGTGAAAGGCAAAGGTCCTGTCATATTCAATCCTTTGTTAACTGCTGATGATGTTGATCAAGTAAGGGAATTTGTTCCTGAGGAGTCTGTTCCTTATGTGGGGGAAGCACTGACAATCTTGAGAAAAGAGGTCGAATTTAGTGCACTTCCCTTTTAGTTTTATATATTGCAAGCAAGCATTGATTGTGTGCATTTTCTCCAATTAATCTTTTATAAATAAAGCCGCTGCTATCAGTCACGTACTACTTGGTAAAAATATTGGTTATTCACAATGGTTTTTGCATTTGAACATCTAAAGTGGGAGCAATTAAAAGGCTCAAGCCAACGCTGTTTCCATTTGCGATCCCTTCCTTGTGCAAATCCCTTCCTTATAATCAAACTGGTCCAGTGCTGATATCTTATAAAAGAAATAGTGAAAGGCTAACACATTTACCTTGAGAAACTCAGAATCCTAAATGGAAGAGGAGACATTTACCATGATCGGTGTTCAATAAACCAATGGATCTCTTTAAACTAAGAGCTTCAGAAACCACATGAGCATGGCCAATTGGAACACTATGAATCAAGTGTTTCCTGTTTTGAGCTAGATTTCATGAATTAACTGATGCATTTGTTCCTGCTTCGGCTATACATATGCATGTATATGAATACAATCCTCTTCTGAAACTATAAATCTATATTGCTTTACCTGAGTCAAAGTTCACGCATTATCTTCCAATTTCCAGGTAGAAAACAAAGCTGCTGTGCTGGGCTTTGTTGGGGCTCCTTTCACTCTGGCATCGTATGTAGTAGAAGGTGGTTCGTCAAAGCACTTTACCAAAATAAAGAGATTAGCTTTCTCCCAGCCGAAGGTAAGTTTGTACTAATCTCTCATGTGTCTGTAGTTTTCTGGATATAAGACATGTACCTGCCAATCCTTCTTCCAGCAATTAATGAAACTAAATTTCAAATCACGTTTTTTTCTATTCCCAGGTTCTACATGCGTTACTTCAGAAATTTGCATCCTCTATGGCAAAATACATTCAATATCAAGCTGACAGTGGAGCTCAAACTGTTCAAATCTTTGACTCGTGGGCCACAGAACTTAGCCCTGTGGATTTTGAGGAGTTTAGTCTTCCATACTTGAAGCAGATTGTGGATACTGTGAAACAATCCCATCCAAACCTCCCTCTAATCCTTTATGCCAGTGGATCTGGAGGCTTACTTGAGCGGCTTGCTTTGACTGGTGTAGATGTTGTTAGCTTAGATTGGTCAGTTGATATGGCTGAAGGTAGGAAGCGATTGGGACCTGATGTGGCAGTTCAGGGAAATGTAGATCCTGGTGTTCTATTTGGGTCAAAGGAATTCATAACTAATCGAATAAATGATGTTGTCAGAAAAGCCGGTAAAGGAAAGCATATATTGAATCTTGGCCATGGAATTGTAGTAGGCACACCTGAGGAGAATGTTGCTCATTTTTTTGAGGTTGCTAAAGGAATCAGATACTAACACGCCATGTGACTAGATGATATTCTGCTAAATTGAGATCTACATTTTTATAAGTTTGTTTGTTAGATCAGTAAAGTTGATTATTGGTTGTTTGCACAATACTGTTTATGTTGTGTAGTATGGTTAAGTTCTTAGCATCAGTGGGTTGCATAAGCTTAGAGTAAGGCCATCTATAGTAGCCATGTGGAGTTTGGAAAATGTAGAATGTTGCATTTCCTTTAATTGTTTTTGAGGCTTTGGCACCTGTTACTTTCTAAGGCAGATAGGTGATCTAAGGGTGTTTTTGGCACTGGCATTCCTATGAGGTATCTCTTTTCCAAGCGCACGGTGATGTGAATCCATTTAGTTCGATGGCTAGGGAATCCATGGATAAGAAGGAAGAATCTTGAAAAAATCAAATCAGATTTGGAAGTAAAGGATATTAGACCATAGAAATATAGAAGAGGAGTAATAAGTTTATATGAATATCACAAGAATGGGAAATTCTTGATAAGCTCGAAGGATGAACATCACAAGAATGACTAGTCCTTGATAAGTTTAGAAAGTTTTTTATAAGAACTAAAGGAAATAAATCTCACAATAATGTTTAATTTGATTGATAAAGATTGATTGAAAATTATAATTTGTTTAGTTAAATAATCTACTAGAATTCGGAAAGACAAGTAGAGTTAAATTGCATAGGACTTAACAATCGAAATATTGAATCCAACAAAGCTTTGAATAAGTCTTCTTGAAATTGGAAGAAAACCCTTTGAATTTAGCAGTTATAATTGTGGACTAAAGCTTTATAAATGTTGATTTGAAAATAATCTTGACTTTGCAAAGGCTTGGAAGTGAGCTGATTTAGTGGTTGCAACTTGCTAATCTTGTCCCAAAATATCAAAACAAGAAGGTTTAGTCGATTGGACTTTAAGTTTGAAAATTTTGGCCTAATAGCATGGATCGATTCACAATGCCCAACTAATGTTATTGAAGCTCGATGATGAAGAAATCAGCCCATTGATATTGAATAAGCCCATTTAAGGACTCGTGGAACTTCTAGGCCCTAGCCCTTATGATTGGGCCTATTGAAATGACCAATGGATCGGTCTCCTCAAGCCTAAGCCCATGATCAAATTGTGAATCACTTGGAAGCCCACGACCGACCTCTTAATTAGCATTTGGAAGCCCACGATTCAATCAGCATGCATTCTTCTCTATCTAAATGATAATTGAATCAACCCATTTTGATCCAAGCTTTAATTCATGTTGTGGGCACTAATTTCAGCCCAAATACTAAGCTTTGAATCCTTTTAAAACACATTTCCATATAAATTAGCCCATGTGAGTTTTGTGTAGCCTAAATTTCTTCATCCATTTAATTCGCATAATTCGACCCCCATGATCATATCATACCCCCACTCTTCGAAAAGATTCATCCTCGAATCTTTACCTTTATGTCGAATTTATGCCTTGATAAATGAGTAGTAATGCCAAATCATACAAATGTAACAGATTTTGATCCATAAACAACTCTAGAAAAATATGTAAACAATGGCACACTAGCATGAGCATGCTCTTTGTCTTCATCAATAAGAACAACTCTCTTCATTGGAGGTCATAAAATTCTTGACATCAATAAAGTAAAAAGCATCAACTTTATTTGAAGCATAGTCATGATCCGAAATAACCAAAACATCATTACAACTCTCGGTTTTAACCAAGCTAGCATCACCCTTGGTTAACATGAACTTTAGTTGTAGCATAGTCATGGTCCGAAATAACCAAAACATCATTACAACTCTCGATTTTAACCAAGCTAGCATCACCCTTGGTTAACACTTTATTGGCGACAGGATAGTCATCGCTATGACTAAAAATTTGAGTACTCTCAACACCCACAAAGTCAACCTCATTAGTATCTTCTCCCTTTTCTCTTATTTTGTTTTCGATCTCAACCCTTTTTCTCTCATTTTCTTTTTCTTTACTCATTTGATCCTCAAAATACTTGCTTAAGTGACAATGGAATAAGTGTTACTTTTCATCCTCCCATTTCAAATGAATATTTGTTATTAAACTCGTCATATGTCACTTTTCTAACAACTTACTAAGGTTTTCCTAGTAAAATATGACCCGACATAACATCATATAAAACCTCATCATTGTATCTCTCAATAAAAAAAGACATTATCACTTGTATGTTTACCTCGACTTCTCCGCACTAATTTACCCATTGCAATGTATATGGACTAGTATATTCAACTATAGGCAAACTCAACTTTTCAACTAACTCGGGATTAACAACATTGACACAACCACCTTTATCTATTATCGGATGACAAACCTTATTATTAACATGACAACGAGTATGAAAAATGTTCTCTCTTTATACATCACCTTATTTTTTACTTGGATGCTCAAAGTACACATAATTATTAATGAATCACTATAAACATCGTCATCAACAATTACTTCGCCCTCTCCCCTAGGATTTTTATCTTTTGATAAGTTTAAAACCCCCCACAAAATTCGTTAGTAATAAAAATTCCTCACAAACACTCCCTCATGTGTTTCACTCAAATTGATGAAACTCAACGCTTGTATTTGCTCTTTTTTCAGCTTTTTCTTGAAATGAACTCATAAACTCTAGCCTTTTACCACTCAAACTTACTCATTTGGTTCTTTAACAAACTAATCCAAATCACACAAGAACTAACCAATTGCAAGTGATAAATAAGTGCCTAACAACTTCACTTTCCAAAGATCGGATTTTGGATAAATTTGGAAAAAAGAATTGAGAAACCAATTCAAACTAGAATTTTAAGTTTTTAGACTATAAGAATGACACTAGAACTAACTTGAATTGAATTGAACAAAAAAAAATACAAATAGATTGTGTTTTTTTTTTTTTTGGAAAGAGACCAACAACAATCAATTAACACACAATTTTATCGATTAACAACTCGATTTGAAACACACAAACCGAATTTTAGAGCTACTAATTTGAAACAAATTTGACAATGAAAACAAACTCGAACACAATCAATTCAACACACACAAATGATGTTTTTAGGTACCGATTTAGGCAACCAAATCGATTTCTTCTTCTTCTTCTTTTTTAACTATTGATTTCAAATTAAATGATATAGATATGCTACCGCCTATTTTTTTCTTTTTAAATGATAGAATATCATAACAACTTTTTTTTTTGGTAGCCTAAAGATATTTTCTTTCATATTTGGAACAAGAAGAAAAAAATTGAGAATTGAATGGCAAGGTGGGCTTGGATTAAATAAGATAACGAGTGAATGAGACACAACGGGACAAAAACAAATCGGACTTCCTTTTCTTTCTTTTTTTTGAATTGGAGCCGTCTCAATTTGAACTAAAACGAAACTACAAAAATAAAAAATAAAACAAAGGATAACAAAAAAGAACCCGATTTATAGCCAAACTCTAATACCAATTGATGTGAACTTGTTTAGCTCGATGGCTACGGAACTCACGAACAAGAAGGAAGAACCCCAAGAAAACCAAATCGGATTCGAAAATGAAGAATATTAGACGTCACACTCGAGAAAGGTAGAAAGAGAGTGATAAGTCTATGTAAACACCACAAAATGAGAAATTCTTGATAAGTTCGAAGGATGAACGCCGCAAGAATGACTAGTCCTTGATAAGTTCATAAAGTTCTTGATAAGAACTAAAGAAAATAAATCTCACGATAATGTTTAATTTGATTGATAAATATTGATTGAAAATTATAACTTGTTTAAATAAGCTATTGAAATTCGGAAATACAAGTAGAATTAAATTGTATGGGATCTAACAATCGAAATATTGGATCCAATAAAGCTTTGAATAAGTCTTCTTGAAATTGAAAGAAAACTCCTTGAATTCAACAACTATAATTATGGTCCAAAGCTTGATGAATGTTGACTTGAAAATAACGTCGACTTTAGAAAGGCTTGGAAGTGGACCGATGCGATAGTTGCAACTTAATAATCTTAGCCCAAAACATCAAGACAAGAAGGTTCGATCAAATTAGACTCTAAGTCTGAAAATTTCAACCTAACGAAGCATGAATCGGATTGACAAGGCCCAACTAATGTTCTTTAAATCCGATGACGAAGAAATCAGCCCATTGATGTTGAATAAACCTATTTAAGGACCATGGAACTTCTTGAGCCTAACCCTTATGAATGGGCCCACTAGAATGGTCAATGGATCAACCTCCTCAAGCCTAAGCCCACAACCAGATTGTGAATCACTTGAAAATCCATGACCAACCTCTTGATTAGCATTTGGAAGCTCACGACTCAATCATCATGCATTTCTCTCGACCTAAATGATAACTCGAATTAGCCAATTTTGATCCGAGTTTTAATTCATGTTGTGGACGTATTAATTTCAGCCCAAATACCAAGTTTTGACTCATTTTAAAACCTATTTTTACGTAAATCAATTCATGTGAATTTTGTGTAGTCCAAATTTCTTCATGCCATTTAATTCTGCATAATTCTAACCCCAAGATCATATGACATGGTGAGTGCTGGAATGTTTGCATCATTGGCAGTCCAAAACCATGTTAGGTATGGTTAGCGATGTTATCAGTGAGCAAGTACACCAACAGACTCTGGAGTTGCAATGTTCCATTCGTTTTACTACTTTTTATCATGTCATGGAGATCATTGTTGTAAGAATTAATGTTGTTTGCTTCTTCTTGATAATAGTATCATACATGGTCTTACATTAAATAATATGTTTTGGTAATTACTAATATGGTATAACAATTATACAATCAAATGGCTTGGTATTTAAGTCTATGGAATTGTAATGCTGTCCATTCAAGTTCTCTAGGTGAATGGCCCAGGCCCTCCACCATTCACATACAGAATTATCTATCCAAGACAAGTCTGAATTATGGTCGCATTGAATTAAGAAGATTCTGAGAGAGAACATCAAGCTAGTAGTTAAGGTTTGCTTTTAGTGCAAAAAAAAACGATGTTTTGACACTGTTT